GTTAGGTTTAATGTTAGGGTTAAGGGGTTAAGGTTAGAGCTAACTCCTCCCTGACCAACCTCCCTCCTTTAGTATTAGCTTTAAGTAACCTTCTGTCTTATGTAACCATACCAAATGTAACATATCATACTAATTTGAGTGTCACAGATTTACGTCTACTATGTTACGTTTTTGAGGCCAGGCTGGGCTGTTTGGGACCAAGAAAGTCACCATTTTAGTATGGAAAATAAATCACAACCAGTGTGACCTATTCTGGCTGTTTCTGTCACTTCTTGCCCAGGTTACATCAGCAAAGTTAAAGATAACGCAAGTTCCTTTGGAATAGTGGACTTTCTCATAAATATTTTCAATTTGATCGTAAAAAGAACGATTCCCACCCAACTATTTTTAACCTATTAACCCAGTGATTCAGGGAGCACCTTCTCAGAGATAGATATACAGATTGCACACAGGGGGGCTTGGCACACAGTATTATCTCTACAGTGGATTTAAAAAAGTGATGTTACTGTAAATGGTTACGTTCTCCCCTCGGGTGTAGTTCGTCTGAGGAGGAGACGTAAATGCCCGTGCACACAATGAAACTAGATGAATGGGGAAGAAATGTGGGGTGTAATGAACTAAAATAACCAGACACAACAACCAGAATGCAATGTTAGCCCTCGGGGACGTTTAGTAAAGTAGTTCCACAGAATTATACAACACCCATAAAGAAACAGTAAATAAAACAAAAAAAACAGGGAAGGTAAGAGAAGGGAATGTTTGGGATTGGGGTCCAAGTAATGAAAATAAACAAAAAGGTCCCTTTGTCTACACACCTAATCCTTCCTATCACATTCTAATCCTTAACCAGCTTTCCTACCGGTTACCATAAATACAGGGGTGACACCCACCCGGCTAACCTAGTGTGTAAAACAGCGGATTATCTACGTGTGAATGTACACCCATGGGCAGAACTACCTTTCCCTTCTCCAGGACCCAGGTAGGGTGGAATACAGCAGGAGGACAGGCTGGAACACAAACAAAGATACATTAAACCAACCAATAACCAAATCATCAAACAAAAAGTACCCCCTCTTCCTCTCGAGCTCACAAGGCAAACAGTTTATACTCTAGTCAATTAGCCACAGCTGCCAGGACTCCGGACCGAAGCCACGCCCACCATCGTCAGCCGCAACTCAGCACACCTGTAATGACCAGAACCCACAAACAGAACAACCACTCTGAACCACAAAGGAAGATTGGGAGAAAGAAAAACGTCACACGTAACAAAATGTATTTGTTAAAAGACCCCTCCCTGCTGCTGTCATTAATGGCATCGGTACCAGTACTGTACTTAAAGTGGTGCTGTAAACCACAAATAATTGATTGTTGTGTCATTCTGCCATTTCAATGGACATTTTTACCGTTTATTCAATCCCATGATCAAAACTGGTAACCACATTTTCATTATAAACAATTCTCTTTTTCTGCAAGAACGCACATTAAAAAGAAATAATGAACTCAATAAAAGGATGTCTGCACAGGAATGTTCATTTTTCTTCATTTTATCCTGCAAACCTGGTTAGCGGTGGTTTGTTGTGACCAAGTGTTGGTGCTAAACTGCGTGTTATTGTTATTGGATGCTAGCATGCTAGTTAGCTATGGTGTCATAGTTAGCTAGCTGAATAAAGTGGGTTGAGTCTATTCCTTTAAACTTTGAACCGCTGTGGTTCACAACAATTCTGATTTCTAAAGGTGGAAGTTGGGAGAGTTTTTGTTCGGGTGGTTCAGTGAAACAATTTTAGTTTCTGAGGTAGAAGTTTTGGTGAGGGAGGCCCTGCTCTCTCCTCTCTCAGATGCTTAGCTCATTTCATTCCGATCTCCTCTGCATTTTTGTAGCCATTTGCTACAGCCTGTCAACTATGCCTCTGCCTATCCCTGTTCTCTCCTCTCTGCACAGGCTACACAAATGCACCACACCGCGTGGCTGCTGCCTCTCTAACCTGGCGGTCCCTGCACGCACCCCACACCTGGAGTTCCAGGTCGCAGGCAGCCTCTGGAACTGCCGTTCTGCTGCCAACAAAGCTGACTTCATCCCAGCCTATGCCAACCTCCAGTCCCTCGACTTCCTGGCGCTGACGGAAACATGGATCACCACTGAAAACACTGCTACTCCTACTGCTCTCTCCTCGTCTGACCATGTGTTCTCGCATACCCCGAGAGCATCTGGTCAGAGGGGTGGTGGCACAGGAATCCTCATCTCTCCCAAGTGGACATTCTCAAATTTTCCCCTAACCCACCTGTCTATCTCCTCATTTGAATTTCATGCTGTCACAGTCACTAGCCCATTTAAGCTTAATATCCTTGTCATCTATCGCCCTCCAGGTTCCCTTGGAGAGTTCATCAATGAGCTTGACGCCTTGATAAGTTCCTTTCCTGAGGATGGCTCACCCCTCACAGTTTTGGGGGATTTCAACCTCCCTATGTCCACATTTGACTCATTTCTCTCTGCCTCCTTCTTTCCACTCCTCTCCTCTTTTGACCTCACCCGCTCACCGTCCCCCCCTACTCACAAGGCAGGCAACACGCTTGACCTCATCTTCACTAGATGCTGCTCCTCTACTAATCTCACTGCAACTCCCCTCCATGTCTCCGACCACTACTTTGTTTCCTTTTCTCTCTCGCTCTCCTCCCACACTACTCACTCTGCCCCTACACAGATGGTAATGCGCCGCCGCAACCTTCGCTCTCTCTCTCCCACTACTCTCTCCTCTTCCATCCTATCATCTCTTCCCTCTGCTCAATCCTTCTCCCTCCAATCTCCTGATTCTGCCTCCTCAACCCTCCTCTCCTCCCTTTCTGCATCCTTTGACTCTCTGTGTCCCCTATCCTCCCGGCCGGCTCGGTCCTCCCCTCCAGCTCCGTGGCTTGATGACTCATTGCGAGCTCACAGAACAGAGCTCCGGGCAGCGGAGCGGAAATGGAAGAAAACTAAACTCCCTGCCGACCTGGCATCTTTTCACTCCCTCCTCTCTACATTTTCTTCATCTGTTTCTGCTGCTAAGGCCACCTTCTACCACTCTAAATTCCAAGCATCTGCCTCTAACCCTAGGAAGCTCTTTGCCACATTTTCCTCCCTCCTGAATCCTCCCCCCCCCCCCCCCCTCCTCTCTCTCTGTGGATGACTTCGTCAACCACTTTGAAAAGAAGGTTGACGACATCCGATCCTCGTTTGTTAAGTCTAATGACACTGCTGGTCCTGCTCACACTGCCCTACCCTATGCTTTGACTTCTTTCTCCCCTCGCTCTCCAGATAAAATCCTGCGACTTGTGACTGCAGGCCGCCCAACAACCTGCCCGCTTGACCCCATCCCCTCCTCCCTTCTCCAGACCATCTCCGGTGACCTTCTCCCCTACCTCACCTCGCTGATCAACTCATCCTTGACCGCTGGCCATGTCCCTTCCGTCTTCAAGAGAGCGAGAGTTGCTCCCCTTCTCAAAAAACCAACACTCGACCCCACTGATGTCAACAACTACAGACCAGTATCCCTTCTTTCTTTTCTTTCCAAAACTATTGAGCGTGCCGTCTTTAGCCAACTCTCTTGCTATCTCTCTCAGAATGACCTTCTTGATCCAAACCAATCAGGTTTCAGGACTGGTCATTCAACTGAGACTGCTCTTCTCTGTGTCACGGAGACTCTCCGCACTGCTAAAGCTAACTCTCTCTCCTCTGCTCTTGTCCTTCTAGACCTGTCTGCTGCCTTTGATACTGTGAACCATCAGATCCTCCTCTCCACCCTCTCCGAGCTGGGCATCTCCGGCGCAGCTCACTCCTGGATTGCGTCCTACCTGACCGGTCGCTCCTACCAAGTGGCGTGGCGAGAAGCTGTCTCCGCACCACGTGCTCTCACCACTGGTGTCCCCCAGGGCTCAGTTCTAGGCCCTCTCCTTTTCTCCCTATACACCAAGTCACTTGGCTCTGTCATATCCTCACACGGCCTCTCCTATCATTGCTACGCTGACGATACACAACTAATCTTCTCCTTTCCCCCTTCTGATAACCAGGTGGCGAATCGCATCTCTGCATGCCTGGCAGACATATCAGTATGGATGACGGATCACCACCTCAAGCTGAACCCTGGCAAGACGGAGCTGCTCTTCCTCCCGGGGAAGGACTGCCCGTTCCATGATCTCGCCATCACGGTGGACAACTCCGTTGTGTCCTCCTCCCAGAGTGCGAAGAGCCTTGGCGTGACCCTGGACAACACCCTGTCGTTCTCCGCTAACATCAAGGCGGTGACCCGCTCCTGCAGGTTCATGCTCTACAACATTCGGAGAGTACGACCCTGCCTTACACAGGAAGCGGCACAGGTCCTAATCCAGGCACTTGTCATCTCTCGTCTGGATTACTGCAACTCGCTGTTGGCTGGCCTCCCTGCATGTGCCATTAAACCCCTACAACTCATCCAGAATGCCGCAGCCCGTCTGGTGTTCAACCTTCCCAAGTTCTCTCACGTCACCCCCCTCCTCCGCACACTCCATTGGCTTCCAGTTGAAGCTCGCATCCGTTACAAGACCATGGTGCTTGCCTATGGAGCAGTGAGGGGAACGGCACCTCTGTACCTTCGGGCTCTGATCAGTCCCTACACCCAAACGAGGGCATTGCGTTCATCCACCTCTGGCCTGCTGGCTCCCCTTCCTCTGCGGAAGCATAGTTCCCGCTCAGCCCAGTCAAAACTGTTCGCTGCTCTGGCACCCCAATGGTGGAACAAGCTCCCTCACGACGCCAGGACAGCGGAGTCACTCACCACCTTCCGGAGACATTTGAAACCCCACCTCTTTAAGGAATACCTGGGATAGGATAAAGTAATCCTTCACCAATTGGTGAGTCGCTCTGGATAAGAGCGTCTGCTAAATGACGTAAATGTGCCCTTGAGCAAGGCACTTAACCCTAATTGCTCCTGTAAGTCGCTCTGGATAAGAGCGTCTGCTAAATGACTAAAATGTAAATGTAATTGAATACTGCAGACCACATCACATCTCTATAGGCCACTCTGTTACATCAGTGTGTTGTTTTCTTGTTTACATTTTGCGGTGCGTTGCGATGAACAATAGAGGAACGTTCCCAAGTGGTGACACAGTGTGACTTCCTTCCTGTGTGACAGATGAGTGTATAACTCTAGTCTCTAGATGTAGGGTGCAAACCGGAATATACTTCACTACACTTCACCCCCCCAAAAAAAGGATCAAGCTAAGGCTGCAGTGTCTACATGGCCCTCCGATTTGCAGGTGAGAGGTCGCCAACACACCATGCAGATATTAATTACATCTACATCAGCATTTATACACACACTGACAAACGCACACACACACGCAGCCACAGAAATGCACGCACACACACAAATGTCACCGGTATGACAGGGAGTGATATACTACTGTACTCACAATACAGGAACATTAAAAACACCCCTAGAGCTGTTCTCAAATTACCTTTTTTTCCCTGTAACTTGTTAATTGTGTGTTTAACAGTTCCAAGGAAAATATTTTTCCTTCAAGGTGTAACCTCATTGAAAGAATGTCTGGTTGATGTTAGATAAAGAAAAGGAAAGCTGCACACACTAGTAGGTCAGATGCAATAATTATAACCTTATAACCAACGTTGACAGACAAGCTGTCTTCATCAGGGTTGATGTTAGATACCAGATTAAAAACTGATGGCAGAGCAAAACTGAGATACATATTCACAACAGTCTGAGTTTCACTCTGGGTCGATGAGTTAACATCACAGTCAGTCAGAGATGGTAGATCTGGTGTACTATATATAAGCTATATATGCCACTGTTTTGCACCCATGTTAACCTAGTGTACCAGATCAAAAAACTCAAATATAGGTCTTCAGACTGCATAAAGAGATGCACTATTACAAATTCGAGTTACTAATTTCCTGTTTCCTGTCAGGAAGGTGTTAGATCCTGTATAGATCGATGGTTGTGAAACTCTTTTTTTCTTTCTTCTTCATAGAAATGTACAACATGGAACACACAAAACAAACCCAAACACAGTCACATACCATTGCACATAAATTCACCCAAATTACAAACTTTCTTATTTGTCTACTTACCTCGTAAGAAGTATGGACAAATTAAAATTATTTTAAAGGCATACTATATTTTCCATTCGTTTTTACATGTTAGTAGGTTGATGAATGTCAAGTGTTCTTGGAGACACGTCTCCTCCCGTTGCTCCCCTCCGGCGGTCTGATTCGCCGGTCTAACCGGTCTGAGCGCACCGCCTCGGCAACACCGGAGTGGAAACCCAACGCACCCTAATCACCTCCAGCGTACCTACACCTCATCATCACCCCTGTATAGCCCTGGACTGTTCAGTGTTGTGTTGCGTGTGATTGTTAGTGTCATGTCCTGTACTCGCTATTTGTTGTTCTCTTGCTCAGTGTTACGTAAACCTGTACATTGTTGATTTCTGCGTCCTTTCTATTCGTATCCTCATTACTCGTCACACTTGGTGTGTACTCTCACAAAGCACTTCCTTAAACTTAATACCTTGCACACATTTCCCCATATTTGGTTGACCACATGTTTGAAGAGATTGGTGTCAATTCCCAGCACTTTACTCTGCAATATACCTACTCAACTCTCCGTTCTGGCACAAATAATAGGGCATTGTTTCGTTAACTGTTGTTCTCTGTATGGTTGTACTGTTTCTGTGGTAGTGTTTGTTTGTCACTTGTGTTTTGTTTCACCCGTCTTTCCTATGGGACGTTAAACGAGTACCCTGACTCTGTGGTCATTAAAAAACCCATGGCACTTATCGCAAGAGTAGGGGTGTTAACCCTGGTGTCCTCGTTAAATTCCCAAACCAGATATATTTCCATAATGGCCAACTAATCATCCCCCTGATTCCCAATTCGAATCTCCCCTCACCTCTCCAACTGACAGCTGAAGTGCTGTGAGCGTTCCGGCACAAATTGTAGCCGTGCATCATTTCAGGGTGATACACAATGGTGGTGGAAGGTGAGTTTCCCCCCTTACAGCACTTTGAGCATCTGGAAAAGTGCTATGTAAATGCAATCAGTTATCAGGTTCTTCTGTCAGTCACACCAAAATTAAAATGATCAATAACTAGTTAAGATTACATCATAAATATTCAGCCATACATGGTAATGTGTTGCTTTTCCAGATTCCTACAATGATAAAGTTTATAGTAAGTTTTTCATCACAAAGCTGGAACATTATCAACATAATCGTCAGTACAGGGAGAAAGTGATGTGAGATGAGATTCCTATTGTGAGTGACAACACAGACAAGAAACAGCATAGAACTGACGCTGCAGGTCAGAGCTTGTATGAAGGAGAATGAAGGTAGATTTCTCCTTGAGATGTTATGCGGTTTAAATCGTTTCAGTTTTTATTTTTTAATTTTTTTTATGTCCATACATGCATCTAATGTGTCTGCGCGTGTTTGTGTAATTTCCTCTTAATTTCTTGGGAAATACCGATACCTCTTATATGGAATCTCTCCTTCAATGGAATGGAGGGTGGGTTGTCCTGCTTTACATATAGGACTGCGCTATCACCACCCAGCAATAAAACAGAGAGAGGGAGATCAGTGAAACAACAAGAGAGAGGAAGTGGTGAATCACTAAGAATCTTAATAAGGTACGCATGAGGCTTTTATACTAGCTGGAAATGTATTTTAGACTGACCACAAGTCTTAGATTTACTGTGAGTGATATATAAATCTAAATAAAAATATGTAAATAACAATGTTAAAATAAATATGAATAAATTTAGTCAATTACAGTGCATACATAGCAAAAATTGGAATATCAATTAAAAGGAAATTGACAAGATGACATGCAATCATGCAGTAGAAGTGTATTTTGCTGCCAGGGCTGAAAATATATTTGATCAATACACAATATAGTAATTATACAATAGTACAGGGATAACAGTGACTAACACATATCAGGAGTTGGTATTGCACAACCTAAAACTTCTTATGTCATTAAGTTATCTTCAATATTTTTGTAAACCAATTATTATTCTGTTAGGCAAAAACGGTGTCTACCGCTAATAAAAACAACATATTGGGTGAGTGAAGCTCTCTAGTAGTCAAAGCCTGTATTCTGCAAGATTAAAGACAAATCGTGAAAAGTTCACATAGTAAAAAGCAGGTAACTGAGCTTTCTTTGACAGCCTCTTCTACATGACACCGTCTGGAAACCTGTTGGTCCACAGTTATCTTCTCCACTGGAATACTATGGCTTTTAAGGTAGATTTTTTTGGGTCACCTGTTAGAGTAAATGTAATTCCTGTTAGTCTGTTCTGTTGTATTTTCACCACATGTTAAGGTTGAACTCTGAAAGTGTTTTAGCTTCATTGATTTCCTCAAGTCTATGCAAATGCCAAAGTTGGAATAGATCCCACTTTATTACTGTATGGAATCAGCAATATTAATATGATTCATATTATATTAGAATATGTCATATGCATAAATATTCAAGGAACATTTTAAATTTGCAGTGTACAATCTTAACATGAACAGGAATGACATTTACGCTAACAAGTGACCAAAAATAACTATCCAATAAGCCACATCTCCAATCTGATAGGCTGCCACCTCTACAATATATTATTAAAAAAGGTTCAAAATTGAACTCCTCCCATCACAAAAAGGTTCCAGTTTGAACTTTTACACAGGGGTTCCTCAAAGAACCTTTTCAGAGGGGTTCCTCAAGGAACCTTTTTCAACTGGAAAGGTTCCGCCGGTGTGGCAACCCAAAAGGTTCTTCCAGGCAACTTTACTTCTAAGAGTGTAGATAAAGATAGTTAGAATCTCTTTATTTAAAAAAAAGATCATACTTTGCCCTCTAAGCTGTAGAAACAGATAGGGACTGTAGTGATACAGACTATAGAGCATGTCAGTCAAGAAGAGACTTGCTCCATTCATTCAGACCCACAACACTGGGGTAATCCAATTTCTCTGGCAATTCTCCAACAATTAAATTGATCAGCTGGTCTAGAGGCACTCTGATTGAGACATGGAGGGTAACAGGATCATTAATCTTTTGACTATGATAAGTGGCGTGTGGCCAGGCAGATGCTGAGGGGGAAGCAGTCTAATGCTCAACAGAACTATAGGGAAGGTTACTGTATAGGGTGGTGGCAGTGTGTGTTGTCTGGAGGGTGGTGGGCTAAGTGGTGACTCACTCTAGCAATAAGCAAGAGACTTTGGAGGTATCTCAGGCTGTCACACAAATCAATTAGTCTAGGTCTGGAATATGGTCCAAAATCAAGCACCGTATATCAATTAAGATATATATCGATATGGACTGTTCAGCATTTCCTTTTAGTGAAGAGTTATCACATATTTTGAATGTTTACTTTTCCCCTATTCAAGGATACCAATAATGTTAATTGTTTTGGTAAATGTATGATTTCCCCATAAATGTACATTTGCAAATGTCTGAGGTATCAAGCAAGTGTTTTGAATGATCACTTGTCACACACCCTCAATAGTGAGACCAAAGGATACTGGATGAAATGCATGGTATGAAACAGGAGTAAACTCAACAATTACCGTGGTTTTTAAAGGTGGTGTCAAGTCTTCAAACAAACACCTACATGACACATTCCAACAGATAATATGGCACGTTACGTAATGTTGACTTTTGTTTCTGTTGCAGTTCAGCGGAAGAACAAAACAATGACAGGTGAGTAGATATTTTTCCCCGCTCTATCATTCCACTACGTCAGACATTCTCTTTTTGTCCCTCCCTGTTTTTCATAGACAACCCTATTTACTAGCTACATCATTAATTAGTCTTGTTATTCTGTTAGCTAACCTCAAACATTCTTTCAATATGGTTATACCTTGAAGGAAGAATATTTTCCTTTGAACTGTAAACAAGTTTAAAGATGAATGATTTTCAGGGAAAATATAAAATGAATTCAGTCTAACTGTAGCTGTGACGGATGTTACACCACAACCTGTCATACCGCTTAACTTTTGTGTGTTTGTTTGTGTGTCCCCGACTGCCATCATATGTGTGCTTCCAGACTATGGTTTTGAGAGGGAGTTTGTGGATGCTCATAATGACTATCGCAAGAAGCATAGTGCCCCGCCCCTAGCGCTGAGCAGAGACCTATGTAACTCCGCCCAGAAATGGGCAGATCATCTTCTGTCAATGAAAAGCCTGAAGCACAGCTCCACCAATCACGGAGAAAACCTTTACTATGCATACAGCTCCACCCCCAAAAAACCTGATGGTGAGCATATGTCAGGAAAAAAATCAATCAAATCAATTATTTATTGCACAATACATTCAATATGTGGCAGAGCTCAACTAGCGGAAAGTACAGTATTGAATAGAGCCTACAGTGGATATTTTGTGTATACAACTTATCCTCTCCATTTATTAACTAGCATATGCAGACTGATTTTGAGTGGATACATATATTTTTTAATAACAAATTGGTTCCGCTTCTATTTTAAAAGGGAAGGCCGCAGTGGACAGTTGGTACAGTGAAATCAAAGATTACCACTTCAATAAGCCTGGGTTCAGCTCCGGTACAGGTGAGATACACAATCGGCAGACTCTAGGGTAAAACAGGTGTGTACTGCCTCCACAATCCAAAAAAGCTCACCTTTGTCACATTCTTTCTGGAGTTTAACCTTGCGAATGAATCACCCGTTTATTTAATAGACCACATCTGGCTCTATTTCCAATCACTGACAGTGTCTAAATAGGCCTCCTACAGTACCTATTGCTCTCCATCCTCAACATACCGAGTGTATACACGGACTCCTATACTAACAGTGCCCCCTGCTGTTGTTTCCAGGCCACTTCACCCAGGTTGTTTGGAAGGACTCCATCGAGGTAGGGGTGGGCCTGGCCACAGATGGGAACATTTCCTTTGTAGTGGGCCAGTACCACCCAGCTGGCAACATGAGCAACGCGGGCTACTTTGAGAATAATGTCCTACCACCGGGTAGCTCCACCTCTAGCACCCCCAAATGTGCCCCCACAGGTAACACATCGTTGATTGGTTACAACGATGAGCGAACAAGAATGAGAAAATACAGTTATATGTAAATCCCATACAACAGCCCAGTTACCATTGTCTCTCTGCAAATAAGCTACTACTTTAGATAAACTAGGTATTTCTGAATGAACCCAATGTATGACACAGCATCGGATACCTCAATCTCTCAACTGACACATCGCTTTTCTTTCTTACAGCCAGAGGAGGTGGGGGCCTGAGTGTACCCCAGTCTGAAACTGCCAGATCCTCTTCACCTGCATATAAGGCTCCTCATCATGCGAACAGCACTGGTGAGATGTTTTAAAGTCATTTTCAGTAAATGTCTCCCATTATGTAAAGACAACATAATATTGGATAGATAGGCCTAATTCTGCCCTCTGAATGTTTGCCATAAATCTTATAGCCATACAATCGTTTCAAATCCACACAAGTCTCTTGGTCATTAGGAGATGGAACAAATATTTCAACTTAACGTGCCGCCCGTCCATCTGTCTGCTTGCTCTAAGACCTGGCCCAGTTCCACAGAGACTTCCTACGGGCGTGTAACAAACAGCGGGAGGCACACGGGGCCCCAGCCCTCACCCTGGACCCAGCCCTGAGTCAGGGGGCGCAGGCATGGGCAGAGACCCTACTGGGAGAGAAGGTGTTGAAGAACTCATCCTCCCCCCACGGTGAAAACATCTGGGCCAAGACGGGGTCAGCGGGCATCACTGCTACAGGTAGAGAGAACCAGGAGGACTGGATGATCTGCAGGGAAAGGGATTTCTCAATAGGGAGTATATACATCGGGCATATTTTGAATGGTTCCGGATGGGGATCGCTAACCCTATGCCTAACCTTAACCTCACCCCGCCAACCCTAACCAATTTCGAACCCTATGCCTAGCCTTTGGATATGCCTAACCATTGGATCTGCCAGCTGAATATCCACTTCTTTCTCAATAAGTACATTCCCAGGGGATCCCTCATTTTTCTTCCAATGTATGACTTATTTATTTCTCTGATAAGGTCAAGAGGTGGTGGACGTCTGGTACAAACAAGAGGAGAAGTATGACTTCTCCAAACCAGGACATCAGGACAAAACAGGTAAACATATCAGCATTAAAGTAGACGACAGGTATACAGTAATGCAATGTGCTACGCCAGAGGGGTCTGAAATAGTAGCTATAGAAAATACACCTTGCTTTTTATGGTTCTCTCTGCCCTCAGCATTTCATGTTTAAAGTTTGCCTTGCATTGATATTTTCCTCAAATGTTCAACATATTGATAATCCAAAATAATTGTGATAATTGTGCTCCATTGTCAATCATCACTCCCTCTATTTCTTTTCGTCACCCTCTCTTTTCTTCTCTGTTCATCTGTTTTAGGGCAGTTCACACAACTGGTGTGGCGTAGCTCCAAGGAGGTGGGTGTCGGGCTGGCAAACAGTGGCACGGGGATGCTCATCGTGGTGGCACACTTTGAACCGTCTGGCAACATCACCAACCCTGGTTACTACGCCCAGAATGTGATGCCAAAAGGGTCAAAAGTTACCGATAAGCCAGTAGAGGTCATCACTTCGAAAATGCAGGTGTTGGCCGTGAACTCGCTGTCAGGTGAGCAGCATCACAGAGCGTGTAAATATATGAACCTTGATGACAGGTTTAAGACATCGTTGTGACATTGTTGTGAAGGCACTATAAGTGGGGGTGACAAAAAGTGTCACTCATACCTTTAAAGGCTTAATAAAGACGTAATATACCGTGTTCCTCTCCATGTCCTGTATAGCCAATGAGCTTGGCCAGTTCGGCCAGGCTCTTCTGAAGTCTCTGAACCAATACCGGAGCCAGCACGGGGCGGGACCTCTGGTGCTAAGCCCTGCCCTCACTAGGGAGGCCCAGGATTGGGCGGCTCACCTGGTGAGCCGCAACACGCTGATGAACAGCGGCAAAGGCCACGGGGAGAACATCTTCTGCTGCTCTGGCTCCAGCACAGTGGCCCCTACTGGTGAGTCACATACCTGCACTGACATACAGCTCATAAGAGCCAATGGGTAAAAAGAAAGTCAAGGGCCTAATTCCAATATGAAGTTTGAGTAACATGAACTAACTCCGATACTGGATATGATGTTTGAATAGTAGTCGACAATCCAAAGTCTGTCAATTCCTCAAAAGTTTGATTTGTTGTTGTATGGGGGGGAGGGGGGGGGGGGGGGGGGGGGGGTCGCAGGAAAAGGCTCTGCACAATGCTTGTAAAGTTCCCAAAAATGTGCAATAATTTATACATTGTCCTTCTCTTGCATATGAAATATAGGATCAGATGTGGCCGAGTCTTGGTACAAGGAGATTGAGAAGTATAATTTATACATTGTCCTTCTCTTGCATATGAAATATAGGATCAGATGTGGCCGAGTCTTGGTACAAGGAGATTGAGAAGTATAACTTCTCTTCCCCTGGTTTTCAGAGTGGAGCAGGTAAGGTGTCCAGTGTCCTGACACCTCATAACACAATGCTATTGATATATATAACCTCATCCACAACAGTCACTGTACAGTATAGAAAATACAATGGCTGTGCTATTTAAATCAAACTCAAAATCAGGAAAACAGTGCTCCCTGGCAGTGAATTTACCATAATCAACAACATCTACGACATGAAAACTAAATTAAAGTTCATAAGAAATTGTTAGGAGTGAGACATGCTGGCCAAGAATGTGTTTAATTCTGCATTTGGTGTTTATTTGAAAAATAAAATAACTTGATTGGTGGTACTCTCATCCTAGGTAATTTCACTCAAATGGTCTGGAAGTCCTCAAAGCAAGTGGGTGTGGGTTTGGCGACCAGTGGGCAGGGCACATTTATCGCCGTGGCGTTCTACGACCCAGCGGGCAACATCACCAACCCAGGCTATTTCCATGACAACGTGAAAACCAAAGGAAGCAGGTTTTAGTCTGAGTCATATATGTAGTATGTATGCCGGCGCTACCAAAGGTTCCTATAGGAATGGGGTGCTTATCTGGGTAAACAGGTTGTTGCTATAATTTGTCCTCTTTTGGTAGGCTTTTGTCTTCCATCAGATGGCGCTATTTTAACGCGACACGCAGTTGCCAGGAGCAATCAGTGCAGACGGCCGTTTCGCTCTTACGCAAGACAAACTTGACCTTAACTTTTTTAACTTCTATCTCAAATCATACCCTTAGATTGTTCTTTTCTAGCTAACAACATTACATTTGGGGAAAAAAATGGCTTTTATGTTGTCTTAATAGGAAATAATTTTAATGGTTATTTTTTCATAATTGCTGGTTTTATAAATGTTTGAGTAACAAGAAGGAAATAAGTAATATAAAAAGTAACTGTCCAGTGAAAATCTCACTTTTATAAGTTCATATTCTGTTACCTCATGTTATTTGGGTATGAACTCGTCCTATACTCGTATTTGTGGCCAAATCATAAACTGGAGAAAAAAAAAAAAAAAGAAAAAAAACCCCCACCTCAAGCTTGTATCTCAAACAGACCGTTTCATAAATGCTTGCAATTTCCTCATAGAACATGTCATGTTGGCTCACTGAGCTGGCCAATCAGTGGTCAATTTGCATGAATATTTTTAATGACGGGTATACGCCCACACCATTCAAACAGATAATCTGCTTTTTAACATACTTAATTACCATTTTTTGGAAGGAAAACTATTTCACTCATATTGTAATTAGTTATAGGTCATATTTCATAGAAGTCTGGAAACACTGGACAGTTACTTTAAACCTAAATGTAATGCCTTTTATCTCATACTGTTTATTGGTGCACGTTTTTGTAATTTACTGTACATGAAGAGAAATCTTCCTCTTTTTAAATGTATTCATTGATGTTTCTCAAACATGTTGACATACAGACTGAGACTGCACTGTGTGTTGACATACACGGGGCAATAAATTGTGGAATTAAATATTTGTAGGTTGTAACATTTGAGCCACACTTTGAAAAAAATATGCAATGAGAGCTTATTTCTAGTTAGCATCCTTGCTGCCGTCTTCCACCAGCAGAGGGGAGCAGTTTGTTACTTTTCACTGTATCCCCTGTCAAATAAACAGGCAATCTAACTGGAGATATGTAAAGAATCTCTCTCACAGTCAAACACAGACAGGGTGAACAATTGTTGCTGTAACCACAGGGAAAGACCGGCTTTGCATGGGGAATGCAAACAGAAACTAGAATAGCATGGCATCACACCATTGTCCTCTCTATCCCTAGGAGGAAAAGTGACGCGTTGTTATCTAAGGGCCATCATAGTCACATTTTAAACAAGGTCAGCCGATAAAAGCTCAGAAGCTTTTGGTTTTGCATTCTAGTTTGAATAGACAGGATTCTAACGATAAAGCAAGAATATGGTACAGAAAAATGTTTTCTACCTATGTGCTTCGAGGCTTATAACTACTGTGTTTATAGTTTGGAATATTAATTGAGCTTAGTTGGTAATGATAATAAACACATAAGATCGAGAACTTTGTTATCACTTTAAAAATGAAAAACACCTGACAAGTTACTGTAACTTGTTAACTCTGTACCATAAACCTTGTAACTAAAGAACACTGATGATCAAAATAGGTAGTAGGTGATCAAAATGAAAGTTACAGTCTCATAGTGTCACTTCAAAATTCGGATGAACGTTTATTTTTTACGCATTAATTCTGTGTGGTTACAGGGTTAAAACAGAAACAACTCAAAGGGTTAAGTTTAGGTATTAATTCCGAGTAAGGTTAGGGCTATGGTTTGGGGATGGCTTACTACAAAATCATTAACATGCCATTTCCATCAAGTATAATCTATTATTCTCCTGGTTTGCTAGAGCATTGGGGACTGCCATGACGCAGTGGTCAGCGCAGCACGCTTCCGCCTGAGAAGCCGCTTCGCCTCCAAGCATCATGAGTTCGGGCCAGTGGCAATAGTTTAACATTTTTGGGATGAGTGCCGAGGAAGGAATATATCGACGTTCTCAGGACCTTTTCAAACGTCCGAAATCAGAGCCTATTTCTAGTGATCAGGCTGGTCTATCTAGGACTCAGTCACCATGTTATCCAATACATGTTATGTGTGTGTGCGAGCGGCAACAGAGTGGTATGAGAAGAAAACAAGCTAAGAGTATGTTAGTGGATAGGATGTGGGCCAGAGGCCTTGCCTCCCAAGGGAAAAGTGAGTGGGATGCTAGCCAGCCAACACCGTCGAATCCCAGAAAGTTAGGTCAAGAATTGTGTTCCCCTAAACCTCCATCTGTCCAAGTGTCGGAGTACTCCTCCATAATATTCCAAACTCCTCCATAATATTCCAAACTGTGAAAGAAGGAGTCAGGCGCAGGAGGTTAAATACCGAAGTCCAGAGTTTAACCGTTTGCATAAATCAAACGCCCCAAGCGTCAAACGAAACTGTACAAGGGAAAACATCCACCTTGACAATAACACAGTGAAATGTAGCTGCGCCTGAATTGCCTAGCGCCTTACACTGGGAACCTACCAAGTGACCTGGAAAGGAGATAGATAAAGTACAGTGCGCCGCAAAGTGCTCTGAACATGTTTGAGTGTTCGTTACCTGGGGTGATGCGTGAGTACCCTGCCTACCGCCTCCAGACCCAAAAGAACGTTGACTGCGACGTGAGGTGGATTGTCCCTTCGTGCCACCAGAGTGGCACTGTCGCTGTCCTTCTGCGCTCTCGACCGGCGGCTCCCCTCAGCTCCATCTGCTCGGGGTCAGAGTCGTCCGGAGTGGGAACTGGCAGACCCCTACCAGGACGTCCTCTGGCTGCTAGCAGATTGTCCAGCCGGATGGCCATGTCAACCAGTTGGGAGAACGATAGCATGGCATCCCGGCAGGCTAGCTCCCGTCGGACGTCCTCCCTTAGGTTGCACCGGAAATGGTCTATCAGGGCCCGCCCGTTCCACCCGGACCCCGCTGCCAGCGTCCGGAACTCCAGCGCGTAGTCCTGAGCGGTTCTCGTCCCCTGCCTTAGATGAACCAGTCGTTCGCCCGCCTCTCGATCCTCAGGCGGGTGATCAAAAACAGCCCGATGGAGTCAGGCGCTGGAGGTAAAATATCGAAGTCCAGAGTTTAATCTGTTTGCATAAATCAAACGCCCCAAGCTTCAAACAAAACTGTACAAGGAAAAACATCCACCTTGACAATAACACAGTGACATGTAGCTCAACCGAGCTACACGCTCTCAAAACAATCACTCACAAAGACTAGGGGAACAGAGGGAACACTTATACACATACTAATTAGGGGAATGAGCACCAGGTGTGTGTGATTGACAAGACATGACAAGTGGAGTGATGAGAATGGGATCGGCAGTAGCTAGTACTCCGGTGACGACGAACGCCGAAGCCTGCCCGAACCAGGAGGGGGGGCAGCCTCGGCGGAAGTCGTGACACAAACAAAAACATTCTGTAAACAGTGCAGCAATGGTTTGGGTATCAATTGTATGTGTCTTGAACATTAAAACAGGACATAACGTAATATTTTCCTTTGACCTGTCAGACCCATTTTGGACCAAGATTCTCTAATAATAATAATAATAATAATAATAATAATAATAATAATAATAATATGCCATTTAGCAGACGCTTTTATCCAAAGCGACTTACAGTCATGCGTGCATACATTTTTGTGTATGGGTGGTCCCGGGGATCGAACCCACTGCCTTGGCGTTACAAGCGCCGTGCTCTACCAGCTGAGCTACAGAGGACCACAATACATTCACATAATGCCTAAGCTTATTCTTCTAGCTTTACCACCCAAATAGAAGTCAGACAAAAACATTAGGTCATCTTACTAACTAGGTATGCAGTGAGACATGTTTTTACATTCGAGGGTGAGACCCGCTCTAAAATGCCTCCAGGTGTTCTGTATCTGGTGCCCCACTGGCTCGGCAGAAATGTACTGTAAGTCAAGCTTGGCGGGCAATGTGATGATTGGTCCTCCCCTGACTGCTCAGGGGCAACCTGATTGGGCGCAAGTAAAAAAACAAAACATGAGTTCAGTCAGTTTGACAGTTGAGTGTTTTTGTTTAACTCACAGATGCGCGCACACACACACACACACACACACACACACACACACACACACACACACACACACACACACACATCCCACCTGTAACGGACACTGTGAAATGCCAGGCAGCTCACTTTACTGATTGGGAAATAAAACAGGAGTGTAAAGAGTCACATTGAAATCTTAACTGCTGCATAACTAACACTGAGACTTTGCTGTAATGAATATCCATGGATAATCTAAACAGCATTTGAAATATAAAACAATTGAGCATTTAGAACATGATGGTCAGAAAAGTTGTGCTAGATTGGTATGTGTGAGCATGTGCGTGCGTGCGTGCTGACATGCATCCGTGCGTGCGGGTGTTCCAAACTTGTTTTCTTTCTCCCCTATTGTGGGTGATCCCCAGAGGAAATGACTTTGGCGGGAACAAAAGCTCCCCTCTGACTGACAAAACAAAAACAACTCCATGGAAACAGCAGATACCAGTGAGCTTTAAAGACCTACACACACACAAACACGCACACTCCCAATTGCCAACAGCTGCTGAGTTGCCCTACAGTGATGGAACATTTTCGGTTTGAGGGTAGAGGAAACGAAGTTCAGGCTAACCTTCCCCATTTCAAACTCAGTTGGTCCGAGCTAGGCTAACCCTGTTGGTGACACCATTGAGAACAGATAACAGTAACCATTCAAACTCAGTTGGTCCGAGCTAGGCTAACCCTGTTGGTAACACCATAGAGAACAGATAACAGTAACCATTCAAACTCAGTTGGTCCGAGCTAGGCTAACCCTGTTGGTAACACCATAGAGAACAGATAACAGTAACCATTCAGGCTCAGTTGGTCCGAGCTAGGCTAACCCTGTTGGTAACACCATAGATAACAGATAACAGTAACCATTCAGGCTCAGTTGGTCCGAGCTAGGCTAACCCTGTTGGTAACACCATAGATAACAGATAACAGTAACCATTCAGGCTCAGTTGGTCCGAGCTAGGCTAACCCTGTTGGTAACACCATAGATAACAGATAACAGTAACCATTCAGGCTCAGTTGGTCCGAGCTAGGCTAACCCTGTTGGTAACACCATAGAGAACAGATAACAGTAACCATTCAAGCTCAGTTGGTCCGAGCTAGGCTAACCCTGTTGGTAACACCATAGAGAACAGATAACAGTAACCATTCAAACTCAGTTGGTCCGAGCTAGGCTAACCCTGTTGGTAACACCATAGATAACAGATAACAGTAACCATTCAGGCTCAGTTGGTCCGAGCTAGGCTAACCCTGTTGGTAACACCATAGATAACAGATAACAGTAACCATTCAAGCTCAGTTGGTCCGAGCTAGGCTAACCCTGTTGGTAACACCATAGATAACAGATAACAGTAACCATTCAGGCTCAGTTGGTCCGAGCTAGGCTAACCCTGTTGGTAACACCATAGATAACAGATAACAGTAACCATTCAGGCTCAGTTGGTCCGAGCTAGGCTAACCCTGTTGGTAACACCATAGATAACAGATAACAGTAACCATTCAGGCTCAGTTGGTCCGAGCTAGGCTAACCCTGTTGGTAACACCATAGATAACAGATAACAGTAACCATTCAGGCTCAGTTGGTCCGAGCTAGGCTAACCCTGTTGGTAACACCATAGATAACAGATAACAGTAACCATTCAAACTCAGTTGGTCCGAGCTAGGCTAACCCTGTTGGTAACACCATAGAGAACAGATAACAGTAACCATTCAGGCTCAGTTGGTCCGAGCTAGGCTAACCCTGTTGGTAACACCATAGAGAACAGATAACAGTAACCATTCAAACTCAGTTGGTCCGAGCTAGGCTAACCCTGTTGGTAACACCATAGAGAACAGATAACAGTAACCATTCAGGCTCAGTTGGTTTTAAGCAATTTGGTAATTTATTACCACAACACTGATGTAACTGTAACCATTCGCTGATTGAGTCATTTTCACAGTGTGTGCATTGTCTTACGTTAGCACGATGATTACTCCCTCTGCACTGGTCGGTTGAGGGAATAGGGTAGCACAGGAGGGACCCCACCTGTAGGAAGACAACGCAGTGTGTGTTCATGATGATAATGATACGAACCATGGTAATGATCATGATCAATATTAATCAGGGTAGCATTAGTTCAGGTTGCGACCTTGTTTAGCCTACAGGCTATTGAGTTCACTGAATAGGCGCTGTCCAACTGGAAAGCCAGTTTGACAGCGTAAAGCACTCTAGGCTTACATTATTGATAACCTCTCTCTTTCTCTCGCTCTCTCTTTCTCTCTCTCTCCCTCAATCTCCTGGCGGGCAAAACTGGTCTAAACCGTTTAAAAATTACGTTATAATTATGTCATTTCAACCAGTTTTTCCTGCTTGTCTCTCTCTGTCTCTCTCGCTCTCTCTCTCTCTTTCTCATTGGCAGTATCGTCTGCACTGCAGGCCACTCTCCTGTGACTACTCTACTGACCTAGTCTCAGACCCTCAACGTAACATTATCTTCATGTTAGAGACCGCTCTTCGGCCCTTTGTTTAAAAAGTCTGCATGATAATACATAATACATGTACAGTATAATACAAGAGGATCAGGGCTGGGGAGTAACTGATTACATGTAATCCGCTACATGTAATCTGTTACGTGTAATCAGTTACGTGTAATCAGCTACATGTAATCTGATTACAACAAAAACTGTAACTGTAATAAGTTACATTATCTGCAAAAATATTGTAATCAGATTACAGATACTTTTGAAAAAGTAGATGATTACTTCTGGGATTACTTTTAAATTCAGAAAGGATGTTTGCGCCTTTCTTTTTTCTCAATGGCATTCAATTCAGCATTGAAAAAAGGCGCAGGTTTAAGTTTGTTCGACCTGAGCGAGGCCTATGATGAGCCCTATGATGAGCCCTATGATGAGCCCTATGATGAGCACTATGATGAGCCCTATGATGAGCACTATGATGAGCCCTATGATGAGCACTATGATGAGCACTATGATGAGCCCTATGATGAGCCCTATGATGAGCCCTATGATGAGCCCTATGATGAGCACTATGATGAGCCCTATGATGAGCCCTATGATGAGCACTATGATGAGCCCTATGATGAGCACTATGATGAGCACTATGATGAGCCCTATGATGAGCACTATAATGAGCCCTATGACGACACCAAATGTGTTTGATGAACCCTTTTCGTCTTCATCTAATGCCTTATATGAGGAAAGTCATCCAAAAGTAACTGAAAGTGATCAGATCATTATGTTACTGAGTTTGGGTAATCCAAAAGTTACGTTACTGATTACAATTTTGGACAGGTAACTATTAACGGATTACATTTAGAAAGTGACCTACCCAACCCTGAAGAGGATGACTATACATGAATATGCTCAACTTCGAAACATAAACAATCTGGATGAATGAGTATTTGACTGTGAAGAGTCTGTAAACTGACAAGTCAATTAATAGACGTTTACAGGGGAAGTTACTGCTAAATTACTTATCTTCAGGTTGGCGTGGGTGCATGATAATCTAGGTGTACTGTCTTTCAGCAGCTCTTGTACCAGGTTGTCGACCCTACCCTTATCAGATGAGTTGACAAGAATCCTACCCTTATCAGATGAGTTGACAAGAGTCCTACCCTTATCAGATGAGTTGACAACAACTCTACCCTTATCAGATGAGTTGACAACAACCCTACGCTTATCAGATGAGTTGACAACAACCCTACGCTTATCAGATGAGTTGACAACAATCCTACCCATATCAGATGAGTTGACAACAACCCTACCCATATCAGATGAGTTGACAACAACCCTACCCTTATCAGATGAGTTGACAACAACTCTACCCTTATCAGATGAGTTGACAACAACCCTACGCTTATCAGATGAGTTGACAACAACCCTACGCTTATCAGATGAGTTGACAACAATCCTACCCATATCAGATGAGTTTACAACAACCCTACCCATATCAGATGAGTTGACAACACCCCTACCCATATCAGATGAGTTGACAACCCCCTACCCATATCAGATGAGTTGACAACCCCCTACCCATATCAGATGAGTTGACAACATTCCTACCCATATCAGATGTGTTGACAACACACCTACACATATCAGATGAGTTGACAACAACCCCACCCATATCAGATGAGTTGACAACAACCCCACCCATATCAGATGAGTTGACAACAACCCCACCCATATCAGATGAGTTGACAACACCTCCTACCCATATCAGATGAGTTGACAACCCCCCTACCCATATCAAATCAGTTGATAACAACCCTACCCATATCAGAGGAGTTGACAACAACCCCACCCATATCAGAGGAGTTGACAACAACCCCACCCATATCAGAGAAGTTGACAACAACCCTACCCATATCAGATGAGTTGACAACAACCCCAACAATATCAGATGAGTTGACAACCTACCTACCCATATCAGATGAGTTGACAACACACCTACCCATATCAGATGAGTTGACAACAACCCCACCCATATCAGATGAGTTGACAACAACCCTACCCATATCAGATGAGTTGACAACAACCCTACCCATATCAGATGAGTTGACAACAACCCTACCCATATCAGAGGAGTTGACAACAACCCTACCATATCAGATGAGTTGACAACAACCCCAGCCATATCAGATGAGGTGACAACCTACCTACCCATATCAGATGAGTTGACAACAACCCTCTCTTATCAGATGAGTCGACAACAACCCCACCGATATCAGATGAGTCGACAACAACCCCACCGATATCAGATGAGTCGACAACAACCCCACCCATATCAGATGAGTCGACAACAACCCCACCCATATCAGATGAGTCGACAACAACCCCACCCATATCAGATGAGTTGACAACAACCCCACCCATATCAGATGAGGTGACAACCTACCTACCCATATCAGATGAGTTGACAACCTTACCCATATCAGATGAGTTGACAACAACCCCACTGATATCAGATGAGTCGACAACAACCCCACCCATATCAGATGAGTTGACAACAACCCCACCCATATCAGATGAGTTGACAACAACCCCACCCATATCAGATGAGTTGACAACAACCCCACCCATATCAGATGAGTCGACAACAACCCCACCCATATCAGATGAGTCGACAACAACCCCACCCATATCAGATGAGTCGACAACAACCCCACCCATATCAGATGAGTCGACAACAACCCCACCCATATCAGATGAGCTGACAACAACCCCAACCATATCAGATGAGTTGACAACAACCCCAACCATATCAGATGAGTTGACAACACCCCCAACCATATCAGATGAGTTGACAACACACCTACCCATAGCAAATGAGTTGACAACAACCCCACCCATATCAGATGAGTTGACAACAACCCTACCCATATCAGATGAGTTGACAACAACCCTACCCATATCAGATGAGTTGACAACAACCCTACCCATATCAGATGAGTTGACAACAACCCCACCCATATCAGATGAGGTGACAACCTACCTACCCATATCAGATGAGTTGACAACCTTACCCATATCAGATGAGTTGACAACAACCCCACTGATATCAGATGAGTCGACAACAACCCCACCCATATCAGATGAGTTGACAACAACCCCACCCATATCAGATGAGTTGACAACAACCCCACCCATATCAGATGAGTTGACAACAACCCCACCCATATCAGATGAGTTGACAACAACCCCACCCATATCAGATGAGTTGACAACAACCCCACCCATATCAGATGAGTTGACAACAACCCCACCCATATCAGATGAGTCGACAACAACCCCACCCATATCAGATGAGTTGACAAGTTCACTTCCATCCAAGCATGTGGCATATGTGGCCATGATGTCATATAATGCCTTCAATTACTTTAGTACCTCTTGTCTTGACAGGTTTCTCTTCCCTTCTTTCATCTGATGCTGTGATGCGCCTGCTCTGGTCTCCTTCGCACCTGCTCTCCCTCACACACACACACACGCACACACACACACGCACATACGCACGCACACACCCATCTCATGTTAGCTCTGAATAATGTAAGTGCTGCCTCACACTATGCTTCTGCCTCGAGGGGAAACCAATTGACACAGCAGAACCGACATGTACAACACAGCACTGGGACCTCCGGGGGCTGTCTAGGGGATCTCTCTGCATTGACAATTAGTTTGCTAGCTAGTAGTGGTATGGATCCTTAGCTCAATAAAACTGTGTTGGGGAAAGAGGGGATTGTCTAAAGGGATGGTTCAGGTGCTAGTCATTGCGATAGTAAGGGATTCTATTTAAATATCTTAAACTTGATCACCTCTACAAGTACTTTACATTGTATGGGTCACTCACCCCATCCCCCTCCAATGTGTATAGGAGCCAACTTGGTGATTAGCAGCCATTTTGTGCTAGAGTGCTCAGCAGTTGTCGGTAGTCCAGTAACTGGGATAATTATTTACATAGAAATCATTAGTGCGCCGGTTCTCCAACAAGGGTTGTCGAGGAAAGTCTCAGGGCAGTGTGACAATGCAATGTGAAGTATGCCACACTCAATAGTAATCACTTTCAGGGAGGTCCTCCTTATGTAGTATTGTGCTGAATACTGTTTAAAGTACTTTGAGACCGAAGTGCATAGCGTTATATACTTGATGTACAGTTGAAGTTGGAAGTTTACATACACTTAGGTTGGAGTCATTAAAACTCGTTTTACAACCACTCCACACATTTCTTGTTAACAAACTATAGTTTTGGCAAGTCGGTTAGGACATCTACTTTGTGCATGACACACACAGTAATTTTTCCAACAATTGTTTACAGACAGATTATTTCACTTATAATTCACTTTATCACAATTCCAGTTGGTCAGAAGTTTACATACACTAAGTTGACTGTGCCTTTAAACAGCTTGGAAAATTCCAGAAAATGATGTCATGGCTTTAGAAGCTTCTGATAGGCTAATTGATTTATTTGAGTCAATTAGAGGTGTACCTGTGGATGTATTTCAAGGCCTACCTTCAAACTCAGTGCCTCTTTGCTTGACATCATGGGAAAATCAAAAGAAATCAGCCAAGACCTCAGAATTTTTTTTGTAGACCTCCACAAGTCTGGTTCATCCTTGGGAGCAATTTCCAAACGCCTGAAGGTACCATGTTCATCTGTACAAACAACAGTACGCAAGTATAAACACCATGGGACCATGCAACCGTCATACCGCTCAGGAAGGAGACACGTTCTGTCTCCTAGAGATGAACGTACTTTGGTGTCAAAAAGTGCAAATCAATCCCAGAACAACAGCAAAGGACCTTGTGAAGATGCTGGAGGAAACAGGTACAAAAGTATCTATATCCACAGTAAAATAAGTCCTATATCGACATAACCTGAAAGGCTGCTCAGCAAGGAAGAAGCCACTGCTCCAAAACCACCATAAAAAAGCCAGACTACGGTTTGCAACTGCACATGGGGACAAATATCATACTTTTTGGAGAAATGTCCTCTGGTCTGATGAAACAAAAATAGAACTGTTTGGCCATAATGACCATCGTTATGTTTGGAGGGAAAAGGGGGTTGCTTGCAAGCCGAAGAACACCATCTCAACCGTGAAGCACAGGATTAGCAGCATCATGCTGTGGGGGTGCTTTGCTGCAGGAGGGACTGGTGCACTTCACAAAATAGATGGCATCATTGTCACGTTCGTTCATAGAAGGGTCAGACCAAGGCGCAGCGTGATATGCGTACATGTTTATTTGAACCGAATAAACAACACGACAAATGAAACGTGACGTCCAAGGTATAACACAAAACATACCTTACAAGATCCCACAACTCAATAGTGCCCATAGGCTGCCTAAGTATGGTCCCCAATCAGAGACAACGAGCGACAGCTGCCTCTGATTGGGAACCACACCGGCCAACATAGAAATACACATACTAGAATATAAACATAGATCTACACCACATAGAAACTACACACCCTGACTCAACAAATAAGCGTCCCCTGAGTCAGGGCGTGACAATCATGAGGAAGGAAAATTATGTGGATATATTGAAGCAACATCTCAAGACATCAGTCAGGAAGTTAAAGATTGGTCGCAAATGGGTGTTCCAAATGGACAATGACCCCAAGCATACTTCCAAAGTTGTGGCAAAATTGCTTAAGGACAACAAAGTCAAGGTATTGGAGTGGCCATCACAAAGCCCTGACCTCAATCCTTTAGAAAATGTGTGGGTAGAACTGAAAAAGTGTGTGCGAGCAAGGAGGCCTACAAACCGGACTCAGTTACACCATCTCTGTCAGGAGGAATGGGCCCAACTTATTGTGGGAAGCTTGTGGAAGGCTACCCGAAACGTTTGACCCAAGTGAAACAATTTAAAGGCAATGCTACCAAATACTAATTGAGTGTATGTAAACTTCTGAACCACTGGGAATGTGATGAAAGAAATAAAAGCTGAAATAAATCATTCTCTCTAATATTATTCTGACGTTTCACATTCTTAAAATAAAGTGGTGATCCTAACTGACCTAAGACAGGACATTTTTACTAGGATTAAATGTCAGGAATAGTGAAAAACTGAGTGTAAATATATTTGGCTAAGGTGTATGTAAACTTCCCACTTCTACTGTATTATTTTTCAGCTCCTAGTGGAGTGAAGGCCCATCAAGCCTCTCTATCGAATTTAAAAGTGCTTTATAAAGGCAGTATTGTTCTCACCAATGAAATGAGGTACCTTATACATATGGTGTGAAGATTAACATAGAAGGTACAGTCCTGATGCAGTCCTGCCAATATGTTCTACCACCACATCATTCAGTAGTGAGGTTTAAGCCAAGCTACTGAATTCAACTGTGTTCAACTCACTGACTTTCTGTAGTGGTGAATTTATTTATCCCTGGTCAAATATGGGTGAAAAAACAAGGGGTGAATCAAAGGAAGTCTGGTTAAATGAGGACAATAGAAACATCCTGGAATAGAAACAAAGGACGCAAGTCAATTTTCCCATGTCCTCGTTTTGGCAAATGTTCTCCTTTGCCCCTTTAAAGTGCTTTTACTGTGTGCATACTGGAGCTGCATTACAATGGCTAATCCCTGCACTCTTTGTTAGCCTTGGCGTCTTTTTTATAGGAAGAAAACACCTATAGGAAATACAGCAATGTGAGGTGGTCAAGCAGTTGCAAATAAAAATGGCCCCATTGAAATCACTAATGTTAGGTGCAGCCACACCTGGGGTACTTTAGATGTATTGTAGGGCATTCATATCCACTGAAAATCTCCATCGCTTGAATTACAAATGTATATCTAATAAACTTGATGTGTCTGAGTTGCATACAAACTACTTCAACATTTATAGACTGGGGGCATAGAAAATCATTCTCCAGTGAAACTAAACTACAATGATGATTCATAGTTTATTTGTCACTCACAAAATGGAAAGTTGTTGTAAAAAGGATAGAACTTCAATACTGTATGTCAAGTTATTATGCCAGGTGGACTCCGTCCAAAGTCAACGCACAACCTCCTCCAAAGCTGTCATCACCATGACTATCACCATGGTCGCCATCAGTTGTCTCCAAACAAAACAAATACTTCATGGCCCAAATCACATTCCACTGGATATAGGGACAGCATTGGCCTCAGGAACCCTCAGTTCTTTCCTAAGGATGAAAATGTTAGTCACATTTTGTTAATACAATGTTTTCCAGGTCTACTGTTAATGATATTTTGCCATTATGTGTTATTCACACATCTCTCTATCTCTCTCTATGGCAGCAAAGTGCTTTGAGGGTGTTATCTTGTAGCAGCCTGTACACCATGTTTAGAGAATGACACAAGGCAAATAACAGGTCTTCAAACCACTAGGGCAAATCTGATGTGAAATATTTTATATGATACAAAAAGCATATTACAAACAAAAAGTATTATTATTAGTATTATTATATATGCAAGTGGACTTGAATGTTTTTTCAATGGCAATCATTATTATTACTCTTCTCAGGAAAATCTAGTCTACCCAATTCATCAATGCAGTCACTAATGTCAATAAAAGATTATTCTACAAAGGGGTAGCTTATAGATTATTTTTTTGCCCCTTTCCTATTTTTTACTTCACAATGTATTTGAGGTCATAAAAAATATACATATCTGACACAATTTAAATGTAATTCCAGTCATAAATTCTGTTTTCTTTTCAAACATTATCCATTATGAAATGCCATAACTTTCTTATAGTTTTATACCCGCGTGCACCTGTGCTACTTGTAAATTACTATCTAGCAAGCATTAGTTTCATGTAATGCATTGTTTTAAAAGTGAAGAATTGGAGGCAACCTTATCAAACTTGTAACATGTTTTAACATGAAAATGTAACGCTTGAGTGCTGTTTGGTTACATTTTGTGTGTAGCAATACATCTTGTTGGTCAGATTCGTATTCAATGATACAGCCTGCGAGCGTTCCTAGTTACAAAGAATACAAAAGTATCCCCAAGGTCTCCGAACATAAAGAGATCTCTTTATGTTCTTAGCCCAAAGTAACCCAGCGACTCTCTAATGTTTCTATTTCTGTAACCATTGACAACAGGTTACTATATCGTGAGAGCCAATCAAAACTAGAAATCAACTTTTGTTATCCAATGAAATACAGTTATACTATGATTGACGGGTGTTTAAACCAATAGCATTCATAATCGTCCGTTGCCACTGATTATAAATTCTGTCCTCCGTTTTGAATCGAGTATTATTCTTTCTTGCTTCAGAGTGTATTCGATAGTGACAGTCCTACTTCACCTGTGTTTTTTAAATTTATTCATTCACTCAAAATGAGGGAAATTGTGCATTTGCAGGCTGGTCAGTGCGGCAACCAAATTGGAGCAAAGGTTGGTTAAACTTTCCAGACTTTCACCCTTCAAGCTCAGTAACGTAGCCCTGCCTTGCATTGTCTGTAATTGACGTCGTTAACTTTATCTAACGTTAGTTATAAATACATGAGATAGCTAGGCTACTACTATTAGGCTACATATGCACACTGTTAGGTTTTCTTTATTGTAATTGCTCTGTATTTGATTCCTTTAAAAGTGCAAATTGCTTCGCTGGCATACCTTTTTGGATGGCTGTGGGATGTGACTTGGAGTTGGAGCTAACACCTGTTCCATCATTTCTTTCCTCTAGTTCTGGGAAGTGATTAGTGACGAGCATGGCATCGACCCCACTGGCACATACCATGGGGACAGCGACCTTCAGCTGGAGAGAATTAATGTGTATTACAATGAAGCCACGGGTAGGTCCTCTATTAGCCTGCTAGTACTCTATATACTCTAGCCATTATTTATTTTAGAAATAGGGTTGTAGTGCTGCCGGATCACATTTTTTAAATTTGAGAATAGGGGCCCACACGGAGCTGGTAAAAATATTTCTGGAAAATTAATTCTGATAAATTCTAAATAAATTCTACTCAATTACCACAAACATTCCATGAAAAACGATATAATGACACAAACCAAATAAATATGTATAGCAGTTTAGAGTTAACCTACTCGCTGAGTGCGCTGCCGAACTGCAGCAACAAGTGACAAAAATAGGGCGCGTATGGAACGCGCTGGGTGGCGATCTCTTTCCTGGTCCAACTTCGAAACGCTCTGCGCTCACTTTGAGCGGACCAAATCCAACGTAACAAGAACCGCCACAGACAGAAAACTACGAGGGGTTGCTAAAACGGCTGTCTTCAAAACAGTTTATGGACTTGGGGCTCATGTACGACGCTGTCCGAGTGTGTCTTGCAAGATCGCATAGGCATAATAATTACATTATGTAGGCCTATTTTACATAATATAACCGAATATAACAGCATATAGCACAGTAGGCATATATTACTGTTACACCAATAATAACTCCTCCTCAGTCATTTCTTGTGTGCTTTTAGGATGGTTAGCTCGCTGAAGCTGCATTGCCGAAACTCAACAGTTTGCACCACTAGGCAGGATATAGTCTATGCTCAGGGCCAGATTAAGAAATCATACCCTCCAGGGCTTTTTATTTATTTCTATAGACCCCCCTTCCTGCACACCATAATTTTCTGTAAACAAATCCGTGCACCAAGATGCTATTCGATGGGTGGTAAATTTACTGTTGAAGAAAAAGTCCCTTTATAATAAAGCCATAATAACATTTGTGATGTGGTATAGGCTAAAGGGGAACAATTCTGGGTAGGGTCTGGAAAAAAATCTGCCTTTTAAAAAACTAATTTAATGCAATTCCACCTCATTTACATGTCAAAGCCATTAGCTGAATCTTTTTTAATACACACAAATGACCGAATGAGTGGCTACTCTGACACTGACAAACTGAGATCAATCTGTTCTTTAATTCAAACAGCCCAGGCCAATGAAGCGACACACAGATTGTACAATATTAGGAGGAAATATATATATCCTACAGTAAGCTACTAAATAAAATGTCCAGTGGCACACTGACTCGCCTAATGATGAAGATGAAGCCATAGGCTACTCACGGTAATGGCCGACGTGCTCGTCGAGGCAATAGCCTATCTCAAGATGAGCTACTTTGAAAAACAGTGCAGTTCGCAGACAGATTAGTCTTCTCTTTTCAGCAGTAGGCATTTGCTTTCTAAACGGTACATTTTTCCCGCGATTGTATTTTGACATTTGCAAAAGGCAAACCTACAGCCGCAACCAACCATAATAATATAATTCATAGATGGCAGTTCCCATTCAAGTCAGGACTGGCAACCATTGCTAGTGTACCCATGAGTTTAACAGTCAAATTGCCATGGTAAGAGGTTCCAAAACCCTTCTATGGATTATATGTCTATGGCCAAAATGCAACAAGCTGTATATTTGGCTGCTGCCTTCCCGACTGTAGGTATACCAGTAACTGCCAAAATAAAGGAAACACGTGAGTAAATGAGGGACAAACAGTATATGTTATGGTGTGGGGTGCATGTTCCTGGCATGGTTTAGGTCCACTTGTAGAATCTATGCCAAGGTGCATTGAGGCTGTTCTGGCAGCTCGTGGTGGCCTAACACCCTTTTAAGACACTTTATGTTGGTGTTTCCTTTATTTTGGCAGTTACCTGCATGTGCTTGTGATTCAAACTTAATCCAGTTATATATTTTTTTACTATTGAAACCTCTGTGGCTAAATTATGCTCTCTGGTGTATTTTGAACATTGAGAGCGGACTCCTGTGATTGTATTAAAAAATATATATAATAATAACAAAAATAAATATAAAAATGTATTTGCCTCTTGGGCCCCCTACGGGCATGGGCCCAGCCCCTGACTTACATAATTGACCAGTCACATGGATTTATTATGCAGTTTTATTAATTAGTTACCCAATCAAGGCAGGGCCCTCCAGTTACCCATGTGGGCCCCCTACCTCATCTCCTCCCCCATCTGACGATTAGCAGAGCAGCAGCAGGTTGCCTACACTAATTGAGAGCAGGCTCCTGAGTCCTCCTGTGGTTGGCGGTTGCAGTAAATAAAAATACTAAATATATACACTCAGCAAAAAAAGAAACGTCCCTTTTTCAGGACCCTGTCTTTCAAAGATAATTCGTAAAAATCAAAATAACTTCACAGATCTTCAATGTAAAGGGTTTAAACACTGTTTCCCATGTTTGTTCAATGAACCATAAACAATTAATGAACATGCGCCTGTGGAACGGTCGTTAAGACACTAACAGCTTACAGACGGTAGGCAATTAAGGTCACAGTTATGAAAACTTAGGACACTAAAGAGGCCTTTCTACTGACTCTGAAAAACACCAAAAGAAAGATGCCCAGGGTCCCTGCTCATCTGCGTGAACGTGCCTTAGGCATGCTGCAAGGAGGCATGAGGACTGCAGATGTGGCCAGGGCAATAAATTGCAATGTCCGTTCTATGAGACGCCTAAGACATCGCTACAGGGAGACAGGACGGACAGCTGATCGTCCTCGCAGTGGCAGACCACGTGTAACAACACCTGCACAGGATCGGTACATCCGAACATCACACCTGCGGGACAGGTACAGGATGGCAACAACAACTGCCCGAGTTACACCAGGAACGCACAATCCCTCCATCAGTGCTCAGACTGTCCGCAATAGGCTGAGAGAGGCTGGACTGAGGGCTTGTAGGCCTGTTGTAAGGCAGGTCCTCACCAGACATCACCGACAACAACGTCGCCTATGGGCACAAACCCACCGTTGCTGGACCAGACAGGACTGGCAAAAAGTGCTCTTCACTGACGAGTCGCGGTTTTGTCTCACCAGGGGTGATGGTCGGATTTGCGTTTATCGTCGAAGGAATGAGCATTACACAGAGGCCTGTACTCTGGAGCAGGATCGATTTGGAGCTGGAGGGTCCGTCATGGTCTGGGGCGGTCTGTCACAGCATCATCGGACTGAGCTTGTTGTCATTGCAGGCAATCTCAACGCTGTGCGTTACAGGGAAGACATCCTCCTCCCTCATGTGGTACCCTTCCTGCAGGCTCATCCTGACATCATGACAATGCCACCAGCCATACTGCTCGTTCTGTGCGTGATTTCCTGCAAGACAGGAATGTCAGTGTTCTGCCATGGCCAGTGAAGAGCCTGGATCTCAATCCCATTGAGCACGTCTGGGACCTGTTGGATCAGAGGGTGAGGGCTAGGGCCATTCCCCCCAGAAATATCCGGGAACTTGCAGGTGCCTTGGTGGAAGGGTGGGGTAGTCCATGAGGAGGAGATGCACTGCAGTACTTAATGCAGCTGGTGGCCACACCAGATACTGACTGTTACTTTTGATTTTGACCCCCCCCTTTGTTCAGGGACACATTATTCAATTTCTGTAAGTCACATGTCTGTGGAACTTGTTCAGTTTATGTCTCAGCTGTTGAATCTTGTTATGTTCAAACAAATATTTACACATGTTAAGTTTGCTGAAAATAAACGCAGTTGACAGTGAGAGGACGTTTCTTTTTTTGCTGAGTTTAGTACATACATAATATACATGTACAGTGGGGAGAACAAGTATTTGATAAACTGCCGATTTTGCAGGTTTTCCTACTTACAAAGCATGTAGAGGTCTGTAATTTTTATCATAGGTACACTTCAACTGTGAGAGACGGAATCTAAAACAAAAATCCAGAAAATCATGGTAAAAATGTATGGTTTTTAAGTAATTAATTTGCATTTTATTGCATGACATAAGTATTTGATCACCTACCAACCAGTAAGAATTCCTGCTCTCACAGACCTGTTAGTTTTTCTTTAAGAAGCCCTCCTGTTCTCCACTCATTACCTGTATTAACTGCACCTGTTTTGAACTCGTTACCTGTATAAAAGACACCTGTCCACACACTCAATCAAACAGACTCCAACCTCTCCACAATGGCCAAGACCAGAGCGCTGTGTAAGGACCTCAGGGATCAAATTGTAGACCTGCACAAGGCTGGGATGGGCTACAGGACAATAGGCAAGCAGCTTGGTGAGAAGGCAACAACTGTTGGCGCAATTATTAGAAAATGGAAGAAGTTCAAGATGACGGTCAATCACCCTCGGTCTGGGGCTCCATGCAAGATCTCACCTTGTGGGGCATCAATGATCATGATGAAGGTGAGGGATCAGCCCAGAACTACATGGCAGGACCTGGTCAATGACCTGAAGAGAGCTGGGACCACAGTCTCAAAGAAAACCATTAGTAACACACTACACCATCATGGATTAAAATCCTGCAGCGCACGCAAGGTCCCCCTGCTCAAGCCAGCGCATGTCCAGGCCCGTCTGAAGTTTGCCAATGACCATCTGGATGATCCAGAGGAGGAATGGGAGAAGGTCATGTGGTCTGATGAGACAAAAATAGAGCTTTTTGGTCTAAACTCCACTCGCCGTGTTTGGAGGAAGAAGAAGGATGAGTACAACCCCAAGTACACCATCCCAACCATGAAGCATGGAGGTGGAAACATCATTCTTTGGGGATGCTTTTCTGCAAAGGGGACAGGACGACTGCACCGTATTGAGGGGAGGATGGATGGGGCCATGTATCGCGAGATCTTGGCCAACAACCTCCTTCCCTCAGTAAGAGCATTGAAGATGGGTCGTGGCTGGTTCTTCCAGCATGACAACGACCCGAAACACACAGCCAGGGCAACTAAGGAGTGGCTCCGTAAGAAGCATCTCAAGGTCCTGGAGTGGCCTAGCCAGTCTCCAGACTTGAACCCAATAGAAAATCTTTGGAGGGAGCTGAAAGTCCGTATTGCCCAGCGACAGCCCCGAAACCTGAAGGATCTGGAGAAGGTCTGTATGGAGGAGTGGGCCAAAATCCCTGCTGCAGTGTGTGTAAACCTGGTCAAGACCTACAGGAAACGTATGATCTCTGTAATTGCAAACAAAGGTTTCTGTACCAAATATTAAGTTCTGCTTTTCTGATGTATCAAATACTTATGTCATGCAATAAAATGCAAATTAATTACTTAAAAATCATACAATGTGATTTTCTGGATTCCGTCTCTCACAGTTGAAGTGTACCTATGATAAAAATTACAGACCTCTACATGCTTTGTAAGTAGGAAAACCTGCAAAATCGGCAGTGTATCAAATACTTGTTCTCCCCACTGTATATACATTTCCAAAATAAATAAGGAAATTATATAAACAATTTTCAAAACATGTTGCTGCCTCTTGGGCCCCCCACGGCCTTGGCCCAGGGGCTTCCTGCATTAATCTGGCACTGCCTGTGCTTTGATTGAAACAAAATACAAGAAAGGGTAATAGTTTATTAACACCATCTACTCTAATTTGCTCACGAAACAGTAATTGAAGATCTAAATGCATATTCCCATTAAACTATTTGCGATCAAATGATTTGCATGCAGATGCCGTTTGGACATTTCACCAGTAAAACGTGAATAATTATCATTCACGATTGACAGTGATGGCAATGCATTTTATGCATATTCGATAATGATATTCAATCTGTCGGTACAAACTTTGCGAAATTATGTCATTTACATTTTTTTAAATAATTGCGCTCTCGCACCTAAAATAGCACTACACCACTGGTTGAATTTATGATTAGAAAATGAGTGACGAATGTGTTTGGTGGTCGTTCATGGTTTGGTGGGCAATGCAATGTCTCAAACGTTTGTCTTTTGCTTTGCAGGAGGTAAGTATGTCCCCCGTGCGGTGTTGGTGGACTTGGAGCCTGGTACAATGGACTCTGTGAGGTCGGGTCCCTTTGGACAGATTTTCCGACCAGACAACTTTGTTTTTGGTGAGCCCTGGCAATCTGCTTTTGAGATTTTGATCATGATATTTGATCCAACGACTTGTATTAATGAATACTATTGACTAAACATCCTAAGGAAGAAGAGAAACTAAAAATGTATATTTTTTAATACAATCTGACTTTTGCTACAATGGATATAGTATTCACTTGGGGCATTACTACAGTGCCTTGTAAAAGTATTCATCCCCCTTGGTGTTTTTCCTATTTTGTTGCATTACAACCTGTAATTTAAATGGATTTTTATTTGGATTTCATGTAAAATAGTCAAAATTTGTGAAGTGAAATGAAAAAAATAACTTGTTTCAAAAAATTCAAAAAAAATAAATAATGGAAAAGTGGTGCGTGCGTATGTATTCACCCCCTTTGATATGAAGCCCTAAATAAGATCTGGTGCAACCAATTACCTTCAGAAGTCTAATAATTAGTTAAATAAAGTCCACCTGTGTGCAATCTAAGCGTCACATTATCTCAGTATATATACACCGGTTCTGAAAGGCCCCAGAGTCTGCAACACCACTAAGCAAGGGGCACCATCAAGCAAGCGGCACCATGAAGACCAAGAAGCTCCCCAAACAGGTCAGGGACAAAGTTGCGAGAAGTACAGATCAGGGTTCGGTTATAAAAAAATATCCAAAACTTTGAACATCCTACGGAGCACCATTAAATCCATTATTAAAAAATGGAAAGAATATGGCACCACAACAAACCTTCCAAGAGAGGGCCGCCCACCAAAACTCAAGGACCAGGCAAGGAGGGCATTAATTAGAGAGGCAACAAAGAGACCAAAGATAACCCTGAAGGAGCTCCACAGTGGAGATTGGAGTATCTGTCCATAGGACCACTTTAAGCCGTACACTCCACAGAGCTGGGCTTTACGAAAGAGTGGCCAGAAAAAAAGCCATTGCTTGAAAAAAATTAATAAGCAAACACATTTGGTGTTCGCCAAAAGCCATGTGGGAGACTCCCCAAACATATGGAAAAAGGTACTCTGGTCAGATGAGACTAAAATTGAGCTTTTTGGCCATCAAGGAAAACGCTATGTCTGGCGCAAACCCAACACCTCTCATCACCACGAGAACACCATCCCCACAGTGAAGCATGGTGGTGGCAGCATCATGATGTGGGGATGTTTTTCATCGGCAGGGACTGGGAAACTGGTCAGAATTGAAGGAATGATGGATGGTGCTAAATACAGGGAAATTCTTGAGGGAAACCTGTTTCAGTCTTCCAGAGATTTGAGACTGGGGCGAAGGTTCACCTTCCAGCAGGACAATAACCCTAAGTATACTGCAAAAGCAACACTCGAGTGGTTTAAGGGGAAACATTTAAATGTCTTGGAATGACCTAGTCAAAGCCCAGACCTCAATCCAATTGAGAATCTGTGATATGACTTGAAGATTGTTGTACACCAGCGGAATCCATCCAACTTGAAGGAGCTGGAGCAGTTTTGCCATGAAGAATGGGCAAAAATCCCAGTGGCTAGATTTGACAAGCTTATAGAGACATACCCCAAGAGACTTGCAGCTGTAATTGCTGCAAAAGGTGGCTCTACAAAGTATTGACTTTGGGGGGGTGAATAGTTATGCACGCTCAAGTCTTCTGTTTTTTTTGTCTTATTTCTTGTTTGTTTCACAATAAAAAATATTTTGCATCTTCAAAGTGGTAGGCATGTTGTGTAAATGAAATGATACAAACCCCCAAAAAAGCAATTTTAATTCCAGCTTGTAAGGCAACAAAATAGGAAAAATGCCAAGGGGGGGTGAATACTTTTGCAAGCCACTGTATATATTGTCAAAAGACCTGGCCCATTTTGTTTGTCTGCAGGCCAAAGTGGAGCTGGAAACAACTGGGCCAAGGGCCACTACACAGAGGGAGCTGAGCTGGTGGACTCTGTCCTGGATGTGGTGAGGAAGGAGGCAGAGAGCTGTGACTGTCTACAGGGTTTCCAGCTCACCCACTCCCTGGGCGGGGGCACAGGCTCGGGCATGGGCACTCTGCTCATCAGCAAAATCCGCGAGGAGTACCCCGACCGTATCATGAACACGTTCAGTGTGGTGCCCTCACCCAAAGTATCAGACACTGTGGTTGAGCCCTACAACGCCACCCTCTCAGTCCACCAGCTAGTAGAGAACACTGATGAGACCTACTGTATCGACAACGAGGCTCTGTATGACATCTGCTTCCGTACACTTAAACTCACCACGCCCACCTATGGCGACCTCAACCACCTGGTGTCAGCCACCATGAGCGGGGTCACCACTTGCTTGCGCTTCCCTGGCCAGCTCAACGCTGACCTCCGTAAACTGGCTGTCAACATGGTGCCCTTCCCCCGTCTCCACTTCTTCATGCCGGGCTTCGCCCCCCTGACTAGCAGGGGGAGCCAGCAGTACAGGGCCCTCACTGTGCCCGAGCTCACCCAGCAGATGTTCGACGCCAAGAACATGATGGCGGCCTGCGACCCACGTCACGGCCGATACCTCACCGTGGCCGCAGTGTTCAGGGGCCGCATGTCCATGAAGGAGGTGGACGAGCAGATGCTGAACGTCCAGAACAAGAACAGCAGCTACTTTGTCGAATGGATCCCCAACAACGTCAAGACCGCTGTCTGTGACATTCCTCCCCGCGGCCTCAAGATGGCCGCCACCTTCATCGGCAACAGCACGGCCATCCAGGAGCTGTTCAAACGCATCTCAGAGCAGTTCACCGCCATGTTCCGCCGTAAGGCCTTCCTCCATTGGTACACCGGGGAGGGTATGGACGAGATGGAGTTCACTGAGGCAGAGAGCAACATGAATGACCTGGTGTCTGAGTACCAGCAGTACCAGGACGCCACTGCCGAGGAGGAAGGAGAGTTTGAGGAGGAAGGAGAGGAGGAGCTGGCGTAAAGATATCATGTGTACTTCACAGTCTTACCGATGTTTTTCAGTGTCCTGTTTGTCTTGTCTGTCCCTTCTTACTGTGGCATTCTCAAGCTGTCAAATTCCAGCTTTGAACCAAATCTCTATTAAAGGCATAACTTTGATAGCATTTTGTCTGCTGTGCTCTATAAGTCAATCCACCTCAATGTTCAAATCAATTATACAACACACTTTAGGTACAATCAATGCAATTGGCCCACTTACACTTAGAAATGTGATTTAAGGTTGGCTATATAATATTTCAGCAATCATTTCACAAAACTGGCCACATGTAAAGGGATAAATCCAAAACCATAGAATGAGACACCTGCAAAAAATATTTTAGGGAGGCTGGAAAAATGTAGCTATTTTCATTTTGAGGGTGGATTTTAGCTCATTTATGCATTTAGTGTTGTTTTTTTTATATAGAATTGTTGCCGCATGTAAGCCTTCATATTTATTCAACATTCAAACTTGCCTAGTATTTGTTTCCAAGTATTTTGGCAATTGCTTTTTATCTGTTCCAACATAGGGAAGACTAAGTGGACGTGGCTGAAGGGCAAACCCATATTTCATTTCCGAATTGTTTAAAGTTGGGTTTGGTTAAGGTAAGCGTCAGTTTTAGGTTGTGTTCCCCTGCTTATACGTTGCATGCATCAACCAATGGTTGTGTGCCATGTCATCGACTTTGTCAGACTGACAGATTGGTGGAGTTCGTTTTGCATGGCCCAGTGCCCCGGGTGGATGGAGATTTCACTTAAGGACCAATGGAATAGTCTAAAATGAGCAAACTCCGCCCACCTGGGGCACCAGGCCACGTCGAACGAACTCGACCATTGCTATAACATATGATGTGGTTAGATGATAAGTAAAATACCCATCCAGCCATTGTAAGATCTGGCATGTGTCAGCAACGCCTGGGCAGAGGAACGCACCCTACATTTTGACTGGTTGGGCTGCCAATGGGATGCTGGTCAGAAAGGTCCCTTTAATCTCGCCAAGCCGATAACTATAAATAAAGCTTTACTGCCATCTTGTGGTTGAGACAAGAACATGTCAACCTGCATTAATAGACCATTTCTCTAGAACGTTTGTGTTACATGTTTTGACAGCTGAATCTTTTTGTAAGTAAATCATTTCTTAATTGTTTCTATGAAAAATAGGCTACTTTTTCTGCTTATCAAATTACAAAATTACATGCTGGTGGTCATTTGGAATATCGAGGTTGATAATTTGTAATACTTAAGGATATCCAGCCTTTGATAGCTCCTTGTCTCAGTCTTTGCACTAGCCTTATACTGGACTGGCATACACTAATGTGATCTCCTTACTCTCTACCCCACTCCTCAGAGTGTGCACTCGTTCAATCCCCCTCATCGATGTAAAAGAAATGGACTGGGGTAAGAAACTCCCTTGCTCTAGCATACCAATTCAATGCCTTACAAATCCTTGAGGTAGTGCACATTTCTGTGAGAAGGGTTGAGAGTTGGACTGCAGCAGCCCCAAAGTTGTGTAGAGACCACATCCAGCAGATGGCGCCATCACAATGAAGAACAACTCCAGACAAGAATGTGAATGATGAAGACATTGAATAAAATACCATCTCTCCTACATTTCCATTGACTAATGGGTAGGGTTCTTATGATTGGGCCTTTCATAATCTGTTTCCTTTTCTTTCTTATTCTGTGAAATCTGCACATCCTTCTGCCTTCAAAAGCCTACCTATTCAGCCTCAACTTTCTAAATCAAATCAAATCACATGTTATTGGTCACATACACATATTTAGCAGATGTTATTGCGGGTGTAGCGAAATGCTTGTGTTCCTAGCTCCAACAGCGCAGTAGTATCTAACAATTCACAACAATACACAAATCTAAAAGTAAAAGAATGGAATTAAGAAATATATAAATATTAGGACGAGAAATGTCGGAGTGGCATTGACTAAATACAGTAGAATAGAATACAGTATATACATATTAAATTAGTAAAGCAGTATGTAAACATTATTAAAGTGACTAGTGTTCCATTATTCAAGTGGCCAGTGATTCCATGTCTATGTAAATAGGGCAGCAGCCTCTAAGGTGCAGGGTTGTTGTTGCCCTTATCTCAGAAATGTGACTTCCACAGTACATGTATATAATAAACTTCCATATAATGTGGTAGTCCAGTCCTCTCCCCACTAAGTACTGAGCAATTACATTTGAGATTTAGTCACAATGAAAATGCTCAAGTCACTTCCCTCCCAAGAAATATAAATAATTACATCAGAGGCGTTTCCATGCAACAAGAGCTGCATTCATTAAAGAGATGCGACAATATGGCCCAATGTCATGGAACATTGAGGGAGCGCTGTGTTGAATTGCCTTTAAACTGCCAGAGAGCAGAAGGGAGAGGAGGGAATATTAATTGAATCAACTATCTGTGTGGTGTATTGAGAGCCTCATCATTACTTAAGTAATAGCATTTTATACCACACATGGCATTCAGTAATTAGGGCTCTATTCAATCCGTGGAAGTTAAGCCCTATAGCGCAATTGAAATATAAAGGTAATTTAAAATTGAGCTGACATACAGTGCCTTCGGAAAGTATTCAGACCCCTTGAGTTTTTCCACATTTTGTTACGTTACAGCCTTATTCTAAAATTGATTAAATTGTTTTTTCCCTCATCAATCTACACACAATACCCCATAATGACAAAGCAAAAACAGAATTTTCAAAATAGTTGCTCATTTATTTAAAATAAAAAATGGAAATATTACATTTACATAAGTATTCAGACCCTTTACTCAGTACTTTGTTGAAGCACCTTTGGCAGCGATTACAGCCTTGAGTCTTCTTGGGTATGACGCTACAAGCTTGGCACACCTGTATTTGGGGAGTTTCTCCCATTCTTCTCTGCAGATCCTCTCAAGCTAAGGGCTGAACTTCCGCGATATGGATTGAATTGAGCGCTCAGTCTCTGTTGTGCCAGCTGAAGTCACCTTCTCCTCTGGAAAAAAGCAACATATACTCTTTAAAAACAACAGATTTGTCTGTGAATGTTTATGATGTGCGATCATGCCTTGAGCATGTTTCGATGACACACTGTTCAATACAATGACCATGACACTGTAATAGTTAGTGAGACACATCCCTGACAAGTTCTGCCAAAATCTTTCTTCTGCATCACAACAAACCAGTCGTTTCCCTTTTTAAAACATCAAACCTGCAATGATGGTTCATGCATGGTAACTGCAGAAATGGTAGCCTGGGTACCAGTCTGTTTGTGCCATCATCCCACTGCTTGCCACTCCTTTGGCATGGCAAGGAGTTGACATGATAGCACAAACAGATCTGGGACCAGGCTACAGAAATGGTTACATACAGTATATATAGTAGTCCATGCTAAGCCTTGACCGCTGCTTTTCTGTTTTTGACAGTATCAGATGAGGGAGTCTATTCGTATTTGTTATCAGATGTCTCCTATTTCTTTAGCGATCACCTGAGGCCCCAGTGTTAACACACACAGTGTTCTGCTCATGATGTCAAAGTGGAGCTCTACACGGATGATGGATTGCTCTTTTAGTGCCAGAGCTACTTTGCTGTCACTACCACTGAGGAGAGAGAGAGAGATGGGAAGGGAAGGGATGTTGGATGTGGAGAGCAGTGACAACAACGACAACAACAGCTAACATAAATTAGGAAGCGTTCCGGTGGACAGATGGGGCTTACCATCACCCCCTCTGCATGCAAATGCCAACGACCAAAGAGTACCCCCCCACCCACACCTCCCCTCCTTCATCCCTCTCTTTCTACCTCGCCATGGAAACGGCACTATGGATTATCTCCACCAATGAGAGAGGCCAGGATGGAAAATGATGCCCACTGCTCACAAATGCCAGCGTTGGTGTTCTTCTTGTTGGGTTATTTGGGCCAGTGCCTGGCTTTTCTGGTTGTGGGGTCATTACCATTTCACTGTAGTCAGTTCAGGAGATTCATTTGAAATTCAATTTCAACGATCGAAAAGTGCCATTGATTTTTTATGAGGATTTTTAATGCCATTGATTTTGTAATGCAATTATTGAATTGAAGTCTGTTCTCAAATGGAATGAATAAAAATGGAGTTGAGCCCAATCATGTTCTGCTCTCAGTGGGCTCAACCAGGAGTCATTAGCAGTGCAGCATCCCTGGAGCAGAAAGGAGTTACATACCTTGCTCAAGGGCACAACGGCAGAAGACGGCATCTAGGAGATTGATGCCAGAAACCATCACCGGCTCACTGCCACCAGATTCTCCTGTTGGACCTGAGGATTTGACCCACTCTAACCTTTACACTACCTGCCATCCTAAAGGAATGGGAAAGAAAAGGGCCACTGCCACCAGATTCTCCTGTTGGACCTGAGGATTTGACCCGCTCTAACCTTTACACTACCTGCCATCCTAAAGGAATGTGAAAGAAAAGGGCCACTGCCACCAGATTCTCCTGTTGGACCTGAGGATTTGACCCGCTCTAACCTTTACACTACCTGCCATCCTAAAGGAATGGGAAAGAAAAGGGCCATTTGTGCATGAGTAGGATTAAATGTCACACACTTACATTCTAAGTATCTTCCATAGTATCTTCTGAAAAAGAAACCACAAAATGAGTCTCACTGAGGATGCAATCATGTAATATTCTGTACTAAATCTGGGAAGAAGTTAATGAACTGAGATCACACTTCTTCGGGGTGTTACAACAAAAAGTTGGAGATAATACAGTAAGTCTCTCACATGCCCTACTGGCATTGTTCTTGACACCTAACTTTTGACAGGGGAGCCCAGCAAAGCAGGCAGGACTCAAGAGGCTCTCTCCTCTCCTTTCTCTTTCCGTCTCTCTCTCCTCTCCTTTCTCTACCGTTTCACTCCTTGCCGGCGGCGGCTGTGTGTGGCTGATGGCATCCGGCGTGCGGGGCGCCACGCGCAAAAGGGGTCCTGTCACTCACTCGAGGCGGCCATATGTGTGCCTGC